TGCTACCCAATCTCCTAATCTTTATGTACCTAATCCAAACAACTTTACCACTGTGATCATTGCTGGCTTATATGTGTTATCAATATGCTGTATTGTTCCTAATAATCTTTGTTAAATTACCAATCAATCTGTCAGTGCAATCAATCAGAGCTACCGATGTGCTTTAATATACCTACTAATCTCTCTCATCTCATTTTTCTTGCAATGTACCTGTTATCACTTTATAAATTTTGCTTGAATTTACCTACCTAAAATTATTTATTTATTTATTTATTTATATACAAGAAGGTACATTGGGTTTGTGAGAATACATAGCATAGTACAGTATTTACACTCTCGTAAAGCCACTAGTACGCGCAGCGTTTCGGGCAGGTCCTTAATCTAGCAGATAATTTTAAGTAGGCAAAATCTATTATGTTAGACTAAGGACCTGCCCGAAACGCTGCGCGAACTAGTGGCTTTACAAGATTGTAAACACCATGCTGTGTATTATCACAAACCCAGCGTACCTTCTTGTATATAAATAAATAAATAAATAAATAAATATATGTTTCTGGTGTGATGCCCATGAATTTTGTTACAACCTTCCAGGAAGCGTTTAAGGTCAAGATTGACATTACAGTTCAGAGTTTTAAATGTATAGAGTACACTTGAGAGAATGTGCTTTGACTTAATATCTAACATATTCAAAGATTTAAGGAAGGGTACCGAGTGCTGCCTGGGGCCAGAGTTAGATATTGTTCTAATAGCAGCTTTGTGTTGGGTAATTAGAGGACGTAGATGATTTTGGGTAGTAGAACCTCAAGCACAAATACCATAGTTGAGATAAGGATAGACGAGAGTGTAATAGAGCGTCACAGGGCAGGGCGAGGTAAATAATATCTGATCTTAGAAAGAATGCCAACCGTTTTTTAAACTGTTTTTGCTATACAGTATTTTGAATGTGTCCCTGGAAATTCAGCTTGTTATCGATGAGAACACCAAGGAATGTACCATCTACTTTGTTACTAATTTGGATATTGTTTTATTTTTAGATTAATTTGATCTGAGGATTTACTGCCAAACTAAATATAGAAGGTTTTGTCAATGTTAAGGTTGAGTTTGTTAGCAATTTGCCAAAGATGGACTTTATTTAGATCAGTAATCACTGTATCATTCAGAGCAAGAGGGTCAGGACTGGAGAAAATGAAGGTTGTCATCAGCAAATAAAATTAGGTTGAGGTGTTGAAAGGTATTTGGAAGGTCATTAATGTAGATGAGAAAGAGGAGAGGGCCAAGTATGCTGCCCTGAGGAACACCAATGTTTATGGGTAGTGTCGGAGAAATGGAATCATTCACAGAAACATACTGGAGCCTGTCACTAAGGTAAGACTGAAAATATTGGAGGGAGTGACCTCTGATTCAATAATGATGTAATTTAAGAAGAAGGTTTTGGTGGTTGACAGTGTCAAAATGTGACACTGTGGAGTGTCAGAATATGTGGAGTGGGTGTAAGTTTAGCATGTTAAAGGACTTAAAGAGAGGGTCTGTGTGTTGTTTGAAGACAGAGTTTTGTACAGTTTTGATAGCAGATTTTTACTAAGATCTAATATCTAAAATCAGACATTATGTACCTCGCCCTGCCCTGGTGACGCTCTATTACTCTCATCTATCCTTATCTCAGCTATGGTATTTGTGCTTGGGGTTCTACTACCCAAAATCATTTACGTCCTCTAAATACCCAACACAAAGCTGCTATTAGACCAATATCTAACTCTGGCCCCAGACAGCACTCGGTACCCCTACTCAAATCTCTGAATATGTTAGATATTAAGTCACTGCACATCCTCTCTTGTGTACTCTATATATTTAAAACTCTGAATTGTAATGTCAATCCTGACCTTAAAAGCTTCTTAGAAGGTTGTAACAGAACCCATGAGCACCACAAAAGAACAAATACCTATTTGATATTCCAAGAGTACGATTTTTTTTTCAACGCAATTCATACTTTAAGCTCAATTACTATTAAGTTTTAGTCTAAGTGTTTTTCCCCCACTGAACACCCTTGCCCGAAACGCTATGCGTACTAGTGGCTTTAGGTATTGTATGTACTACCTCTATCTATAAATCAATCAATATGTTTGTAACTGCATCTATGTATGTACTTTTCCTAAATAAATTATTATTATTATTATTATTATTATTATTATTATTATTATTATTATTATTATTATTATTATTATTATTATTATTATTATTATTATTATTGAGTGATGAGGGACTTGAGGTAATTTGCAGTGATTGAACCCCATGCACAGATACCGTATGTACGTACCACTGTACCACGATACCACTGCAAACTACCTCATGTCCATCATCACCCAACAAAAATCTGCTCTCAGAACAATAACAAGCTCTGCTTTCAGAAAACACTCAGTCTCCTTGTTTAAACTCCACACATTCTCTTGTGTCAATTACATTTACAAAACCCTGTTCTTAAGTGCAAACCCTGCTCTGAAACTCTCCCTGGACAGATGTAATTTATTTATTTACTTATTTATATACAAGAAGGTACATTGGGTTTGTGAGAATACATAGCATGGTGTTTACATTCTTGTAAAGCCACTAGTACGCGCAGCGTTTCGGGCAATCTAACATATAATTTTAAGTAGGAAAATTCTAACAAAATTTAAAGTGATAACAGGTAAATGGCAAGAAAAATAATGAGATGAGAGAGATTAGTAGGTATATTAGAACACATCTGTATCAGAGCTACATCGGTAGCTCTGATTGATTGCATAGACAGCTTGATTGGTAGTCAATTCGACAACTTGGGACAACTCGATATAAGCCTAACATGTATGAATACACTGTTGGGCAGTAAAAAAGTTAACCAAATCCTAGGGATAATCAAGCGTACCTTTGACTTTAAGGAAAAGAAGGTAGTGCCCCACTCACCACATTTCTCTAGATTCAATCCCATTTAGCACAAACATTTGTTTTCTTTGTTTTAACCATTGTTTTATCCATTCATGTATTCTACCATTTATTTCATGTGCCTGTAATTTCCTTGCCAGTTTTTCATGTGATACCTTATCAAAGGTTTTAGCAAAATCCATTACTTTATAAGTTAAGTTCTAACCTTTGTAATGCATTTGAGGGATACTGACCGTCGGTAAATTAGGCTTGGAGGGCGTCAGTGTAGTGCACACAGAAATCACAATAGCGTGATGCATCAAATGAACAAATCCACAAGGGCCGTGATGAGGGTTCGAGTCTACGTCCGAGAGGATCCCGGATCGTAGGTTCGAACCCTCATCACGACCTTGTGGATTTGTTCGTCAGTGTAGTGGTTGGTGTAAATTAGCTTAAGCATCGTGATACCAATTAAAACACCGGCGTACACTCAACTAAGTTGAATGACCTAGCTGAGGTCATTCAACTTAGTTGAATGACCTCAACTAGGTCATTCAACTAAGAAAGTTGAATGACCTTCCCAATCATGTTAAAGACTGTACCTCTCTCAACCAGTTTAAGATAAAAACTAAGTACTACCTAATTAACTCCCTGTAACCTACCTTTCCCCTATATTGTCAACCCATGCCTATTATTTTTAAACAATGCTGTTTGTCGACCAAATTGTATTTTTGCTGTTTTTCTGTATGTTCCCCCTTTTTTATTTTTATATTTTCTCAACACATTTTATACTTTAATCTCAATTAGCATTAAGTTTTAGTCTTTAGTGTTTTCCTGTCCGAAACGCTGTGCGTAATAGTGGCTTTAGGCATTGTATGTACTAGCTCTATCTATAAATTCATCAATATTTGTATCACCCCCTTGTATGTATGTACTTTACCTGAATAAAGATTTGATTTGATTTGAAAGACGGTATGATTCAATTGTACAAATCTCTGGTACGTGCTCCCTCATTTGGATTATTGTATCCAAACATGGAAACCTCATCTTCAGAAGAATATAGCTGCTCTGGAGACAGTTTAACGCCTGTTAAATACAGTTTAACAGTCATCTCTCACACCAGGAACGTTTAATGGCCACAGGGCTAACAACTCTGCAAACCAGGCATGACAGGGCGGATCTCATTGAAAATTTTATAATGGTGAACAATATAGAGGATGTTGATCCAGACAACTTATTTAAATGATTAGCTGTAACACTTAACACTAACAAGGAGCAACGTTTATTTAGCTCAACAAGCCACAATGTAGGAGAGGAAACAGTTATTTTTTTCACCCATAGGATTATAAACCCATGGAACCCCTTACCCGCAGAAGACGTAAATTCCTAAACACAACTGAATTTCAAAACGCAGCTCGATAAAATCATGACAGTAGTCCTAAGGTAAATCCAGATAAATATCCTTTTCAGTTGGGTAATGTAAGTAAAATTTGTTACATGATAATGCAACAATTTCACCGTAATTTGTTAAGAATATATTTCTTAATTAATCTCATTTTTAACTGGTTGAGAGATGTACAGCTTTTAATTACATTTGGGAGGACATTCCACAGTTTGGGACCCTTGATTACATAGCATTTCTGCTCTGGCTGAGTCCCACTCATGGGATAAAAATAAACTATATTTTCCTTATGATAATTCAGTATACAGTAGCTAGTCTGGTTAGCTTAACCGCTCAGAAAAGGCTGCCAGTGCGTGCATGACAGTCACGATACTGATTATTGTTAATTAAATATTGTATAGTTTAAGTCTAGCATAAAGTTAGTTTAGATCATTTATTATATAAACGATAACAAAAATACATATCTATCTGGCCATATCTTTTTAGATGACTTAAGGGAGATGTTGCTCTCACCACACTGTGAGCCTGGTCGTTGCTGGAGCCCAAAATTTCCATTATCACACAATATTCGAGCAATAAACATTACTTCAAAATTACTTACTAATTAAAAAGTGCAGCATATGTTGATTACCTGCAGAAAGAAAGTGTTTAGTTTGCTTTAATAGAGGCTAATGCGATAGGGCGAGGGAGGGTGGGAGGTTCCAGCACTCTAGGGTCCATGTGTGGTCAAGATGGCGACGCAAGCGGCCGCGGCGCTCCTCGACGAGCTAATGGGAAGGGCCAGGAATGTCCTTCCCGAGGAGAGGAATCAGTCACTCAGCTGGGATTCACCAGAAGTGAGGCACTATCCTTGTTTATGACTCTAGGAATGGGGCGCTAACATGGGAATAAATGGGCAATGTTGATTCCGTTTTTGTGGCATGTTTTGCTCATGTACTTCGTAGACATGCAGTGTGGTATTGTTAGTATGGGGGACATGTAGGGGGTAGACTGGGTGGTTGTGGAGAGGGGTGGTGGGGGAAGGTACCCGCTATCGGTAACATGGGGGGAAGGTACCCGCTATCGGTAACATGGGGGAAGGTACCCGCTATCGGTAACATGGGGGGAAGGTACCCGCTATCGGTAACATGGGGGGAAGGTACCCGCTATCGGTAACATGGGGGAAGGTACCCGCTATCGGTAACATGGGGGAAGGTACCCGCTATCGGTAACATGGGGGAAGGTACCCGCTATCGGTAACATGGGGGAAGGTACCCGCTATCGGTAACATGGGGGAAGGTACCCGCTATCGGTAACATGGGGGAAGGTACCCGCTATCGGTAACATGGGGGAAGGTACCCACTATCGGTAACATGGAGGAAGGTACCCGCTATCGGTAACATGGGGGAAGGTACCCGCTATCGGTAACATGGGGGAAGGTACCCGCTATCGGTAACATGGGGGAAGGTACCCGCTATCGGTAACATGGGGGAAGGTACCCGCTATCGGTAACATGGGGGAAGGTACCCGCTATCGGTAACATGGGGGAAGGTACCCGCTATCGGTAACATGGGGGAAGGTACCCGCTATCGGTAACATGGGGGAAGGTACCCGCTATCGGTAACATGGGGGAAGGTACCCGCTATCGGTAACATGGGGGAAGGTACCCGCTATCGGTAACATGGGGGAAGGTACCCGCTATCGGTAACATGGGGAAGGTACCCGCTATCGGTAACATGGGGAAATAAAGTTCGGCATTTTCAGGCTCGTCTATACTAGCATTGTTGTATCTGTTGCGTTATTAATAATAGTGGCATAGCTGTTGGCATGGTGGACAGGGAGGTCTGTTCCATTTGCAATCTTGTCCTCAAGAGTAGATTGTTCACTCTTTAACACTCAGACTTCTTGCTAGTCACTTCCTTCTCACAGGCAATGGTCACTCCTGAGAGCAGTGCAGTTTGGACAGGATTCAGTTTCATAGGACCAGTGTGTGGGCAGGATTCAAGTCGCATCACACCTGGGGTCCCGGCAGTACGGTTGGGATGGTCGAGAATTCCGGGTTCGAATCCCGGGCGGGACAGAAATGGCTGGGGGCGTCTATCACCTACGGCCCCTGTCCATCTAGCAGTTAATAGGTACCCAGGAGTTAACATGTTGTGGGGTTGCATCCTGGGGAGGCTCAGTAATTCGACCTGACCTCGGTATAAACCTACCATGTACTGTATAAACTGGTTGCCTGTCCCCTGGTACAATGAATTATTAAATTATTATACCCCAGACTGTTTGCCAACCGTTCTTAAAACGTCTCTAAACTTACCCAATCCATCCGATAGTAACGCAGCGTAACCTAAGCTAATACATGCTGACCTGTATATGGGTACGGGTTTCTACAATGTGGAAAACATGCTTTGTCGAACTGGCAAAAGCATGTAATTTAACCATACCCCGGTGGGTAAGGTTTTGTGCTATTAGTTAATGTGTTAAGTTCCTTGAAAAGGTATTGAGCATCCATCTAGCAATGGGGGTGCAATTATGGAACTTGTTAGTCGACGTCAGAACGTTGACGTCTGTTGACAACATCAGAGGGTGGGTGTTACGATCTCATGTTGACTAGTTGCCCACTGTTGAGCTATTTACTGTACTGTAATTGTAATTGTGTTCAGTAAATATTAACATGCCTATTTAGTACTGCAGACAAATTTACTGGTTAAACCAAAGAATGTTGGTAAGGCTGTTCAATGCTTTGGAGTAGTGTTTAGGTAATAGGTATCTAAAACTGTAAAAAAATGTCATATAGAAATTGTTTGGCTCTTGCCTAACTTAACTTGCAAGGTAATACAGTACTATGCTACCAGTGTTTGGGGAATAAAAAATATTCTTGTGCTATGATATTCCCACACTTCAAGGCATTTTTTGGTCCCGAAATGAGCATTGATATTTAATTATTTATTGTAAAGGAATTTCTTATTTTCTGTTTTACTTTCTATGTTCTCTTTACAGGTGTGCCGCCACTTCTTGGTGAAGTTCTGTCCACATGACCTCTTTACAAATACCAAATCAGATCTTGGTCCATGTGAGAAAGTAAGTAAGGGGGAGCACTTGTTAAATCTTCTTGATTTTGTTGCACTTTATTAAAAGTTACATAAATTGATCATTTGGGGGGTTGGTGATTTTACTTAGAAATGCTGACAAGAAACAGTGCTGACACTCTGGAGCATCTTTGTCTTTGGATGCATATATTTCAGCATTATATTTTATTTTTCTAATCTATTCCATTCAGCTGCTATCTTTGGTAAAATCTTGTGTTGAGATGATAGGATTATGTGGTCACAACTGTATTCTGAGATCTGCACTGCAGAGAACTTGTCATTGTCACTGTAGGGCCATTATGATGCCTTGAGGCTGTTGGAGAAGATTAGGATGATTAACAGAAGATGCTTCATAAAAGCTAAAAGGCCTTCCAAACCTACTCTCGGCATTACAGGTGAATGCCAAGAGAGAGAGATTTTCTTAACTGTTATGCTGCTTTGCTACCAGCACTCACCACTTCCATATAGTTTAGATTTATGAACCCTTAATGAATGTTAATTAAAAGTCCTACATCATAGTGAGCATGACAAGATAGTTTACAAAACCAATGCATTTTACAATTCGAGCACATTGTAATGACAGAAGGATTCCAAGAGTTTTAAGTTAAGGAAAGGTATTCTCTTAAATCATCCTGAACTGGACACACACTTCTTCAGTGTCCCTCACCAACACCTTAATGAACCAGCAGAGGCTGCTTGAAAAGTAACCTTTGGTGCAGGAGCCAGAATGTTGTCCTGCCTAACTGCACGATCATGTCATATGAACACACAATCCCAAAAAAAGGCACAAATTATAAGTCTGTTTGATTTGGATGTTGCTAGTGGCAATACATTTATTGTGCAACCCATACTCACGCTGTGAACAGTAGTGCAACAGTATTAGAGGGTACAAAAGGTCTTAATCAGACATTTGATTTCAAAATTCAACTTACTAATATGGTAATTATAATGACAGCTAGTAACAGAACACGGCTAAATCTGCTTGGTAATACTTAACAAAATTATTATAAATATTGCAGGGTAACAAGCGATGCTGCTAATGACTTTTAGCCACAAAACTTGTACTTTTATCACATATTTTCCTTCATCTACTAGAGTGAAATATAGATACAGTGCATTAATTTCAGATATAATTAGCAATGAAGTGGGTTGCTTATTTATGTAACATAAGTTTTGATTTATCTAAACGACAAAATTTTCACAGTGCAAGGTAAAATGCTTTGGTGTGTGTGTGTTGCTTTCTTTCTGCACACAAGCTGAACTGCCTGGGATAATTGTAGCCAAGTCATATTTGAGCAGTAGGAACTCTGCTTTTTTCAAATTTATCTTGACAATATTTATCTGAGGACATTCTTTAGGCTGCTGGTCAAGTAAAGTGACAGCCTTTGTTCTTGCTGGGGTCAGTGTTCAATCTCTAATGGTCCAATTGATTTGATATTATTCTTTCACACGGTTCTCGCTTCCCCACTCCTTGTCTCTGTATCCCTTCCAGGTGTTATATACCAGGGGCCTGATTCACGAAGCAGTTATGCAAGCACTTACGAACCTGTACATCTTTTCTTAATCTTTGGCGGCTTTGTTTACAATTATTAAACAGTTAACGAGTTCCAAAGCACCGGGAGGCTGTTTATAACAATAACAACAGTTTATTGGGAAGTTTTCATGCTTGTAAACATTTTTAATAAATATAACCAAAGCCGTCTAAGATTGAGGAAAGATGTACACGTTCGTAAGTACAGTACTTGCGTAACTGCTTCATGAATCTGGCCCCAGGACTGTATAGTCATATCGGCTTAGTTGTTTCTCACCATTACTACCTAAACTTTGTGACTCGGAAAGGTGTTTTTTCCTGTCGACTTACGATTATACTGTATAATCGTTTGTGCAGTATATAAATTTATATTCATAGTGTAACTTTTAACTATGTAGGTTGTAACCAGTATTTGCACAATTTTTCCAAATGTTTTAAAGATGTTACTTTTTAGTCTATCAACTTTATTGTGTGAACTGTTTTGGACTATGCAATTTATACATGGAAAGTACCAGCATTTGGTATTTTTTGTACAATATATGGATTTTTACCTCTGTACTCCATAAGGGATTGTTAGTGGCCAGGAAATTAAAGGTACCTTTAGACAGGCATTTGCTGCCTTCAAAATTTTATTAGGTTTAAATTGCTAGTATGTGTAATTAACTTTGTATGTACAGTACAGTAACATGATGTGTTTTATTTTAGCTGGTTCAATGTGGATTGTTATATCTATCGGTTGTTATTTTTTTCAGACAATACACGATGAGGACCTTAAGCGCGAGTTTGAATCGTCCAATTCCTACCGCCGCTCGGCCTTTGAAGATGAGTTTGTCAGATATGCAGAATCTATGCTTACAGATGTAGATAAAAGAATTAGAAAAGGAAAACAACGACTTTCTCTATCTGTTAAGGATGCATTGGTAAGATTTGTGAGTTAATATTATCAAAGTTAGAAGTTTTATATACAGTAATTATAATATATTTTATTAAATACTGTGCATTTAATTATGGTATATACCTATATGTTGCTAGAACATTTCTTGAATCTTCAAAAGTTTTCTAGTTTTTCCAAGAATATTAGTACAGTGTTAAGGTTTGGAATTATATTTTGCAGGATAGTAGCACCACTGGTGATGGACGGGTTGATGAGCAACTGGAATTGCTTTCTGAGAGAATAACAGGATTGGTTAGTGAAGCCGAGCGTTTGGGATGTGAAGGCAATGTTGAAGAAGCACAAGGTCTACTTAAACTGTGTGATCAGCTGCGGGAAGAAAGAGATCAACTTCGCCGCAGCAGCGAGAACTCTGTGTGGCATCAGGTAAAATTATTTTATTTATTGAATGTTTTTGATTCAATGAGCATGAGGAGGTATACTCAGTATCAATACCTTATAATTTTCATGATTATATATTTTTGTAGTTCCCGTGCAATGTCTGGAATGCCTTTTTATATCGGCTAGAAACTTTTGATGATATATATTGTATGGTAAAAGACCATTTTTGATAAAGGGTTGTAGAGTTCCCAGGAGGCCAATTCTAGTGTGATATCACTGATATATCCAGTCTGGTGAGGGTGATATCCAGTCAGGCTCTGCAGGTAGCTCATGTAGAGGGTGATACTGTATTGGAATTATGTGAATTATTTGTATGGGGCCCCTTGCCTCAGTGGCTCCTTTACCTTACCCTTAAGCTATTATAACAGGGCAATGAAATGTCAGGTGTTCAGAAGACATTGCTTACTGGAAACAATGGCTTTTGTGCTTAGAGTAATATTGTTCACTCAATGAGGTGAGGAGCAATTCAGGATCAGAGATCAACTCAAGCTGAGGCATGTTGCCTTAAAAAATTTAAATAACTCAAAATGCCCTAAGTTGCTCTAAATTTTTTATTTTTTTTTTTGTTTTTTAAACTTGCCAAGCAAACCAAAACAAATCTTTTTAAGCTACTTGACTGCCTATGAAAGTGTGGCAGGTCGGCTCACACCCGACCCTTACTCTCTGCCTGGCACCTTGGACTTTTAAATGCCTAGTGTTAGTAAGGACCATTGACTAACAGTTGAGGGATTTGTAGATATTAGCCACTTAGCTTGCACGGACGATATGTTCTTCAGTTTCAGGAGCTTGTAGTAGGGGTTTGCATTGTGTTATTTTAGCTATTTTAACTTTGCTTTTGGTGTCATGGCTTTTCCCACAAGTTATGTTTTTGCTGAAAAGATTAAATTTTTTTATGGTTGGGTACCTTTAAGTATGCATCAGGCAAGGTCATGTAATGCACAAGAAAAATTCGGTGGTGTAGTGATGTGCTTCAAGATTAGTGCCAAAGATTTGGCTGTAAGGACAGGTTGAGAATGCATCTTGGCCATATGAGAAAAGAAGTTACTTAGTTGTGTCTGTGTAAGATACCCAGATAAATAATGCAGAGAAAAACTCTTCCAGATGATGGAAAGTAATTGAAGGATTGACAGTTGTAAGTTAGAAGCATAAATGAGTTAGTGAAACAAAAAAGTCTCATACATTGTTGTAGTGAAAAGTGGTAAACAAATTGAATGCACCTGAAACACCCATATAAGTTACCTCAATTTACAACTGAAAGATTTAAATATAATAAAGCATTAGAATGTTGTTAAATATAAAAGTGCCATGCACAGTATTTGTGAGGTAGGACCCTAAAACTCTCTCTCTTTGTACATATGGGTAAATGCTTGAAACATACATCACTACAAACACCACCATAACCACACCATTAAGAGCTAATATGACCCAGTAGCTAAATATCCAAGTGATTTAAAAATGTATCTGGTACAAAAAAAAATGCCATGAAGGACAGAGCTGGAACTTAAAAAATGTTCTCTAGTTGCCGAGAGATAATTGCTAAAACACTGCAGCAACCTCAGTCATCAATACTAGAGCTAGAATTATAGACACAATCTCTTCTAAAACCATTATAAATGAGCAGCTTATTTGTAAGTAAAACTTTAAATATTTAAATTTTAAGGATTTCATAATGTTTGTATCATAAGATGTGCTGGCATAATTTTTTTTTATACGAGTTTTTATTTCCGTCAGGCTGCAGAGATGGCAGCGTCTCAGGAGAAACAGATGGAGGTGTGTGAAGTATGTGGTGCATTTCTCATTGTTGGCGATGCTCAACAGCGGATTGATGACCATCTGACTGGCAAACAGCATGTTGGATTTGCTAAGCTCCGTCAAGCCATCCAGGAGATTAGAGATGTAAGAGTTCTATTATGTATTTGATATTAATATGAATTATTTGCTTGTTTTAGAAAGAATTAATATGTTTGGGTATGGGAGGAGAAACTGCTAAAAATGTGTTTTCCTTCCATTTAGCATTCTAAGTTTATGGTTGCTTGTGTTGACTAGACCACTCTAGCTAAAATCCAAAGGTTTCGATAAGGACATGGATTGAGATTGTCACTGGCAGTTTCAGGTTTGCATTTAGTTTTTACTCTTGATTCTTTCAGATATATGCTGGGTTTCAAACTGAAAGCAGTTGGTTACCTTTGGGTTAGTCTTCAGAGTTGGGACCAATTGTCTTGTCAGTTGAGAGTTTGTAAAAATTTGTTGGTGACACTATTTGTGACTAAGGGATAATTTTTTAGTATTTTTTTCTCAGAACATTGCATTGTCTTTAGAAATGGAATGTCATATTTTGTTTATTAGACATAGAAGAATTAACTGTCTGTTTTGTTTTCTTTGTGATGAGTAAGAGTACAGTATCTTTAATTGGTTATGATACTATTATCATTCAATAACTTGACTATTTTTATAAATTTCTAATAGTAGTATTTGCTGTAATTTATAAATGGTTAAAAGGGTTTTGTGTGCGCGTTGGATATACACGTTCGTTCAGTGACTGCTTATTGTAGGGCCGATGTTTAAATCCCTGATGTTTCCACTGGATGGGTACTGTTCCTTGACTCTGTCCTGTATCCCGGCTCCTTGTCTGGTATCCCTTCTCACGTGTTATGGTCATACTGGCTAAGTGCTTTATCGTGACAGTTGTCTTAACCATGGGCTAATAGTCCCTCTTTACACTAGTTTGTTACTCTAATATACTACTGGAAGGGTTCATATTAAATAGGCAATTATGTATAAGGGTGACATGTTAAAGTGAGATGGCACTTGTATCTTTTAGTAGTCACTCATTTTAATATAATGATGCTCAGGAAAAAAATATGTACTGTAGGTGTAATGTTTACAACCAGATAGCCTCAAAATGATGAACAAGAAATTTTTTAATTTCCTCAGTTTAGTGGTAAAGTAGCTATAAATATCAAATGATTATGGATATTCATGTTAAATAGCTTCCCAATTGACATCATAGAATGGTGTGATGCACCTGCAGTGTGTATGAAGAGCATCATATTGCGAGTGGCTGGATTCAGGCGAACTCGGGTTGCTGGTTTGCCCGGTGGCAGAAAACACATGCTCAGAGATCACCGGAATACACAGAACCATCCTCTCAACTTCAGTCATGCTTGGCAGCCGATTTTAAGCATGCTTCCACCACTCCAGGGAATCCACACCTGCTAACTGCAGCCTTGCTCAGGTATATTTAGCTCCTTCCTCCTTGGGTACATTGGCTGCAATGTGATGCACTATCAGTGTCATCATCGTTGTCAATGTCACCAACTAGTACAGTAGCACACGATTGTCCATCTGCTCTTGTCTTATCTATGATGCCAGTCATTACCTGGCAGTGGTCGTCTAGCTGTGTTTTCTGTTGGTCAGACACTGATGTGACATGACATCTTCAGAGCCAAGAGCAGGGCTGCAAAATGAAATGCTCTAAGGTTGATTTACTATTTTCTTGGATTGATGGTACAGTATCTGCAAGGGACACAATCTGGCCATCCAATATGTCAAACGATGGAGAGTGAGCCTTGAGCTGGGTTGAGGTCTGAAACTAGTTGGAACAACTTTGCATAAGTGGTGAAAAAGGTATTTATTTAGGTATTTAGGATCTAAGAGGTAAAAGAATAAAAGTTGAAAAGTTGAGTGAGAAATGTTAGATGAGTGCAAAAAGAATTTGTGGTAGTGGACAATAAACACTAAACAAATAAATAAAACACTAAACAAATAAGCACTTTTGACATGTGGGATGTATGCAAAGGGATCTTCACTTAAGGATGCTTACTTATCAGGGACTTTAGGGAATGAGTAGCAGCATTTTATGCTCTGTCTCCTAATTTTTGTGCCTGGTATGGTTTTAAATCCCTTTCAACATTTGTTCTGTATTATGTTTACTTTTATAGTAAGGGATTTAGGATTGCATCACATTTATAGCTGTCTACTTGTAGACCACCCACATTGAATATGAGTATTTCCTCAAGTATCTGTCTTGATTATTTTCAATTTCCACTGATGTCCATGCATCATATTTTATCTAGGTATGAAAAAGCTCGCCATGTTCATGATGTCTCTTCTTTTTAATATCTATTACATTATGATCAAATTGCCTCTGCTTTTTCTCGTTTCTAACGTTGTTACGTTGTGTTCCCTTAACCTGACTGCGTTCTTAGTCCTGTTAATTCAGGTACTGCCGTTGCTGCACATCTCTACTTTTTTATCGTGGTTTATTTTTTGTACATTTGTAGCAGTGTTCAAGGTAACAGCTGCCAGCTGATTGAAGCCATCCATTTGATTCATTTGTTTTGAAGTGCTCCATGTTTTGTATTTATATACAAAGTTGCTCACTTTGCAAAAAGTGTTAGGCACGTTATTAGTTAGTGGGTGGTAACTTTTTCGCATGGCACGGACTTTCCTGATATGGAAAGTATATTTGAAGATGAAACCAGTGGTTGACAGCCTTTTTCTATATATTTCTTCAGTATTCCTGTTCTATGATGAAGAATTGCTCTTTACAATTATACAAGTTGTCTGGGAACTAGTTATAACAAATGGTTATGGTTTACTTTGGATTGCATTGATGTTTAATGTATAAGAGGTCAAATGTAAACTGACTCAAATCTCTAATACAGGGAGAATCTGCATGTGCTCATCTGGAGTGAACCTGAGAATTTACGAACTCTAATCCTAAATGAATAGTACATCAAATGTTGCTTAAGGTTGGAATGAATTCAGATTGGGGTTAAATTTGGTATAATTTGTCTTACCATTAGAGTAAACATCCAAAATGTTGTGATGTTTATGGCTAACATGCAGGTTATGTTGGTGATGGTCTGGTCAACCAGGCTGTTGGATACAACTGCTGACAGCATATAATGTATGAATTGTAGCCCAGTTGATCCTCTATTGAACTCCTTGAGAGGTCAGATAATTATGCCTCTTAATGTTTAGAGGGAGTGTGTTGAAAAGTGCAAGACCATATTCTGTTATGAACTTTAATATAAAATTTCAGTTGACCTACAGCAAGTTAATTGAGCCTCTGCCTTATTAAGCATCAAATAGCCAACTTTCTGCATATGTCATAGGTGGTGGTGAAGATATGAGTATAAATTGTATTGAATGATGTAAAGCTAGTGCTTGGCCTCAAGATAGAAAAAAAATACCTACCTGCCTATAAAGCACAAATTAAAATCATTTATTATAAATTATTGGTATTATAAATACCAATAATACAGGTTATACATATTAGAATTTTTAAGAAAGTTTTCAATTTTATCTCAAAGCGCTATTACTACTCTTCCCCCCTTCTAAATAGAGAATATTAACAAATATGCTCAAAGTGCCCAAAAGGGAGGTAAAAGTTTTTTGTCTGCATGAAACATTAACTTCACTTATTGATGTATTTTATGGCAATGTTACCCGAGAGTTCATTAATATGAATTTAATGTACATTTTATATTTGGATACTGCCTAGAGCTTTGTGGTTTAAAGTGATGGCCAACATTCTTAAAAAAGAAATATCAAGTATTTAGTGAAGCGTAATTCATCGGATGTGTGACGATATTAACTATTTAACCAACTCAATATGGCTATCAGATGCAAAGATTATTTAAAGAAATTCATAAATATGTAGTGCCTGTGCCAACTGTGAAACATGTTAATGTTAATGTATGGTCATGATTTGTAAACAAAATTGTTTAGACGTTGTTTAGGTTTGATGTATTGCATTGACATTTCAGATTGTTTGTGTTATATTAAAATGGTATGAGAACAGTTTTGAAATACAATTTTGTAATCGTATGCAATTGAACAGAGTCGAGAGAAGGCAAGAACCGAGCGAGAGTTGCTTCGTGAAAAGGAACGAGAGGAGAGACACATGGCATTGATAGAAGAGGAGAAGAGAAAGGAAAAAGAAAGAGACGATAGACGGAAAAAAGAAGAGGAAAGGAAACGCATGAGGTAACGATCGCATTCTTATTTTATACCTTTTGATGAACCTTCGCACTTACAGCTTTGTCTTAGGCTGTTGCTTGTTGGTTAATGCTTCCCAGTAGGAGAATAATCAGCTTTAGAACTGATTTTCCTTAGACATGAGTTAATAGATTGTATCAAGTGTGTTTTAGGCACACATGAATACGTTTGGTTAGATATAAATAGCTGCTGTATTACATGGACCAATAGTCCTTCTGCAGTTTCCTCTATTCCTATGTTCTTACTTCCTCATTTAAACAAGTAAGGATTCTTACTAAATGGCAACTACTGATGCTTGTATATTTTTGTTTTTCTTTACCCTTACGAACCTTTACGCTGGTTCGTGGTTTTTGTACACCTTAGGAGAAGGTGTACAAAATTACGTTTAAACTCTGGCAAGATTCGAATGATTATTATTGACATGTTGCACTATATCCTGCAGCAAATTGCATGTTTCTTTTTTTTTTTTATAGCCGGGATAGAGAAAGAAGAGAGCTAAGTCGAGACAGGGATCGTGAAAGAATGAGGGATCGGGATCGGGACCGAGACCGAGACCGCGATCGTGACAACAGGGACAGAAGGTGTTCAAATAGCAGAGACCGCAGACATTCACGCAGTAGAGAAAGGAGTTACAGAAGCTCTCACTCCAAGGACAGAGATAGACGAGACAGGGAGAGGGACAGGTGAGTTTTGTATTATACCTGTGAATTTGATGAATTTTGTTCAGTAAGTGACAAACTTATTTTACATTGAATAACAATGAAATTAATTCATTTAAATACTGTGCTTGAAGTGCAAATATACTACAAAAAATAAAGTAATTGATCTGACAAGTTTGGGGTATTTTTAGATTTTAATTACAGTATAAAATCATATCAATATTGATTGGATGTTTAGTAATATTTTTGTCACTTGTAACTGCTGTAATTTTGGATTTAGCCAAAACATTACAACAAATTTAATATTGCAAGTTATGTACTTAACTGGAAGTGAAAGACAAGAAATTAGAGCAGGTAATTAATAATTTAGTGCAGTGTTAGCTCAAATTAAGGATTGCCTGAAGATTTTTTAACGCGTTTGTAAGATGTTTGCTCATTTCTGAAAACATAATGAGTATGACGTTGCCGCACTGCTGGCTGCGCAGCTCCCCCCTCCCTGGGAGGGGAAAAGGGAAGCCCCAAACCCCTGCACTGGCCATCCACACCTCAGTTCTGAGGCTGATGTTATAGGCAATGGTTGTGTGCTCTGGCTCAAGTGGTTATTTCAGCACTGTGCCTTGTGTGTGGTGACTGTCTTCTAGGTGGGGCGTGAGCCAGGAGTAATTCTTCAGTACTCGGGCTGCATGCTCCTAGGGTTTCCTTCCCTAGGTGCCCACTAAGTACTGCCCTTGGGACTTGGGGCCACCTTCTACAAGTTACTTGCGTTCTGCTTCTGCTAGGCCGTTTACTGCTTTGTTTTCGGCGTGCCATTGTGTGCTAGGGTGTTCTGTCTCCCTTGTTCGCCTGGGTAGGGGACAGTTTGCACTGGTAGGGGTGCAGGGTGCGCAGCTTGTTTTCACCCATCATAGCGGCCGACTCTGTTCCGCCTGGGTATGCTGTCCTCTTGCATTTTTTTTATCTTTCTTTTTTGTTTGCCTGCCTGATAGGGGGTCTGCCTTGGTTATTGCCCCGTGTACTGAGTACTCTCCTTCTTCCGGTGGTTCCCCCTGCTTGGGCCCCATGACTGTACACATCCCGGGGGTTCAGTTCTTAGAAAGTTGTTTGGTATACTTGGGCGTCGGTTAGCAGTACCCTGCCTGGGCTTCCCTGAGTGTGAATTCCATCTCAGGACCTTGGAATTTCCATGGGGGCGAGTGGGTCCGATGGATGTGACCCGAGTCCCCCCTCTCTTTGTACGAGTTTGAGGGTCGAGCTCTGTCCCCTTGTCTCAGGGTGACTCACTGTTTTTGCCTCTGTCTGCTGCCTGTGGGGTCGGTGGCACCTTCGACGTGGAGTCCTGCAAGTTTTGTTTGTTTGTGACTGTTACCCCAGTCTTATGCTGACTAGGCAGGTGCAGGCAGCACAGGCGTTGCACGTTGGGTACGGGTGGTTGCAACGTGCTAGGTTGTTTGCTCCCCGGAAGCCCCGATGCTGTCCCATTTTGGTTGTTGTGACGGGGTTTAGGGGTGTTGGTTGCTTCGGTTTTGTTTTTGTCTGCACCCCCTTGTCTTTTCCCTGTTGTGATTTCTTCTGGTCCTGCCCCCCCCCCCTCCTTTCTCCCTGCGTCCGGATCCATACTGTCTGTGGGTTCGGGGTCGGGGCAGGGCTTCGGTGGTCTTGAGACTCGAACGGTCTCGGGGATTTCTCCTTCTGGGGTAGTGACGGAGGCATTCGAGCCTGTTCCTCCTGCCGTGTTGAGTCTGCCAGTGGGCTCTCTTCCTTAGTAATTTTCCGGTTGCTCCGGCTTTTTCTTGTGAGGCTGGGGCTTTGGGGGGACAGCTCGGCCCCGGGGCCTGCTGTGCAGGTTCCCAGGGCAGGGGAGGGGCTGACTTGGGGGCCTCAGGACCCATTGGTCCCCGCCGGGATTTTCTGCCCTCCGAGCGGGGCTTGCGGTTATGGGGAGTGGGGTTTTTCCTTTCCCCCCCTCTGCGTACGAGTTTTTGGGCATCGGCCTCTCCCCGGGTTCGGTTCCTTGTCCCTTTGGGTCCGTCGGTTCCGTCCTATCGGTGGGTACTCTTCTCCGTTTTCTTGCCCTTCTTCTCTGGGACAGGACTTCTCTGTCATGTTGGGGTCAGGTTCCCCTCTTATCGGGGTTCTCCATGACTCTTGGTCTCGGCTGCAACTGTGCCTTAATAGCCTTCATGATTTTGTGCTTGCTTCTGTAGGATCTCAACAGTTTGGGAAGGTTGTCACTTCTTCCCGTATTGTTGGAACGTCTGTCGTCTTCCAATGAGGCTTACCTCCAGTCCTTTCTAGGACTCGTTGGTCCTCTTCCATGCTTCTTCTTGATTTTTGGTACTATCTCGTTCTTTTGTAATTGTATCTTCTCTCCGTGCTCTGTCTCGGCACTGCTAATTTTTCTTAAGGGGTCCTTATTTCCAAATATGCCAGAAATATGCGATACATGCAAACTAGTTTGATTTCTATCAGACATTTTATTTGGGATGCGATGCTGTGACTTGGAACAGTTGCAGCCCTTTTCATGTGAAACTAGTCACAGAAGATTGGTTGACATTGAACTACTTATAAGAAATTAACACTTTGGCGCATCGCGCGCACGAGACCCGCACTACCCCGGGTGGGCCTCGGCGTTTCACGGGAGCGCGCAGTAATTCTGAAAAGTGTATACTCTCTTCAATTTTGTCACCTCAATTCTCGTCCTAGGTTTTTCAATTTGGTATCATTGTGTTCACAATAGAATTCTCTACACGACTAAAGACATATAAAGTCCAAAAGCATGGCGTACCATCCACAACAAACAGAGAAGATGAGTGCGTGTTACCCAGGAGCACATAAGAACGATAAAATGTGTACACTCCTTTCACGTTTGTCCCTCAATTCTCGTCCTAGGTTTTTCAATTTGGTATCAATGTGTTCACAATAAAATTCTCTACAAGAATAAATGCATATAAAGCCCAAAAGTCCAGCGAGAAAGTGAGAAAGTAAGAGCGTATTACCCAGAACCGCACAAGAGCAATAAAATGTGTATACTCTCTCCATTTTGGACATCTCAATTCTTGTCCTAGGTCTTTCATTTTGGTAACATTGTGTTCACAATAGAATTCCCTACAGGAGTATATGCAAATATATGCTTGGTTTTCACGTGTTTTTGATATCCAGCCTCAGAACTGGGGTGCAGATGGCTGGCGCGGGGGTCTGGAGCTCCCCCTTCCCCCTCCAGCTGCACAGACGGCGGCGCGGCGATGTGTGACGTAATACTCGTTTGCTCATTTCTGTTTGGGGAATTCTATTCACTTGTTCGGCCCTTTGTAGCAATTTTCACCAGAATAGGGCTTTATTGTGGGACTCCTACCTTTCCGGGTGCCTAACTCGGTCGATGGCAGACATAGAATGCTTCTAACCACACGGGGGTTTCTATAGGCCATTGCTCCTTGTGCCTCTGTGAGGGGGGGGGGCTAGGTTCTGGCTCGTGGTCCCCGGTAGGCCCACAGAACTCCATACACATAACTGATGCCAAAGTCTGACATTAAAATATCAGCCTGCATAGCTCCGGGAAGCATCCGGGACTCGTCCACAAAATGACGTTTCATTACATTCAACGCTGTTTTTTTTTTATAGAACTTGTTACAAAAATAATACAGTAACTACTATAAGTAGAATTCTAGAATATACTAGTAACTGTGATTTATATTTCTTTCAGACATCATCGCTCACGCAGTCGTGAACCTGACCGCAGGAGATATAGGGAGGAGAATGGTAATTATTAAGTAGGTTTCTTGGTGATTTACTGTATGTTATTATGTTCTGTCTTTATTCCAGTGGTGTAAGATTGAGCTCTTCTGATTTGTCTCACTAACTTGAATACTTACTTCTGGCACCAATCTCATAAACTTCAGATTGTCACTATTTTCTTTTGTTTTGCAAGACTGGGATTCCATGCTGGAGGTGCATATTCTAGGACAAACCAAAGCTATGTTTAATGTGGGTAGAATATAGTTATGCGTAACTATATTGTATATGTATATATGTATATGTTATGTATAAGCGCATAACTATATTCTACCCACTTCAAGACCCCGAACCAACATAAGAGCAACAAGAGAACATATGGGCCAATAGGCCTTCTGCAGTTACTTTCATTCTTATGCCTTTCATACCCAATTAATATCCACCTCACCCAAAACAAATAAAAAGCATGATGTATGTTTTGTGTAAACTAAGTCTTTGAAAATGTAAGAAGCCTTACGAAATGCTTCTAGACATCAGACCAAAACTAAAAATGTAAAAGAATGAATTTTGGAGAGTTGATTTTTCAGTTACCATCGACAGTGAAGAAAAACGTAAGAAATATTCAGAAGATTTATGTTAGAATTATTAATCTTACCCTTTTGGTCATATTCAACAACAAATGTTTACAAGAAAGACTGCTACCAAAATATACTAAAAGATATAATGTGTGTATGGTGTTAGGTCTACTCCTGGGTTCTTCTCTTTCTGATTCTCACAGTAGCCTTGTTCTTATCATATGCCATCTCTGGCTTCCTAGCCCCATTCCCTATTGATTATGAAGAGCAAATTGTATGCTACTCTCTGTGACCTATCCTCCATGGCCTGCTACTGTAACATGAAGTGGGAAATGTGTCTAGCTGTGTTGTTTGCCCAACAGTATTATATGTATGGGTACTTGATGTCACAAATAAATGTCAAGGTTCTGTAGCACAAAGGGTTCTAAATAGTCTTCCAGGTTTGGTGCCTTCTTTTCATAATTACATATTCTCCAAAAAGAAGTGTGAGAAGGAAAAGATTAATCCATTGGTTAACCAGTCATACAAGAGGGAAAGGAAAAAGAAATGAGTTTTGGGAAAACTTGTCAGTAGACTGTCAATACAAATATGGAGGTACTAAGTAGGGCCAGATGCTTTTACTGTACACCAGGGCTTGGAGAGGAGCACAATGGCAGTTTGAAACTGATGTAGCAGGTCACACAAATGTAATAGCAATGGCTTGGGCAATTGCAGTTAGAATATGAAAATCAATAGTAAAGTACAAACCTATCAATCTGTTTTAGGCATGTAATAAAACAATGGCAAAGAACCACACTATCTGATTAATAAAAGATGGTAGTTCTTTAAAGGTGAAAGCTTGTGAAGAACCAAAACAAGATGTACTAGGAATCTTCAAGTTTGAATCAGAGTTGAGACCCGGCATGAGTGGCAGAAGATGAGACTAAATAATAGTAACTGAGGTGGTAGTAAACAACTAATTGATTACAATGTCAGCAAGGCAATAGGACCAGACTAAGATTACTGAATGGGGCAGCAGGCCTACTATGTAACTCTTTAACTAGTGAATCTATTGTGCTAGGTTAGCAAATCAGGAGCTCTTGAGAAGTCTGAAGGAATTAAAATGTGGTACAACATTAAAAAGGAGGCAGATAGGCAACTCTATACAACAGACCAGTGTAACTTTTGTGAATTTCCTGCATAATACCTATGCTGTACTGAAAAAAGTAATTGGGAAGGTGATCATGAAAAATCTAAAGTTACAATTTTATTGAGTGCCTCAATTTAGACTAGGGTAGTTTTGTTATAAGCCTGCAGAGTTCTAAGGCATTTACCAAGATAGGACAAGAGAGGGGCAGCTAGGTAGAGGTAGATTTACCATTTTAAATTGTCAATGTCTTTTGATACTATTAACCATAAAAAGTCAATACACAAAACGGAGAAGCAGGCAGGAATCATGAGAAGTTACTAGGCTGGGTAAAGAGTACCCAACATGTGTGTTGCTTTGTGGAGAGAGAGAGAAAGATTGGGAGTCAGGGAACAAGATGAGAGGTGGATTAGTGTATATATTATTTCACATTTATTTTGTGAGCCATCCTTTCTTGACTGATCAATATATATATATATATAGTTATTTTTTTGTGCACCTCAGGGCATGTACAAGCACGTAACTACTGATGGCAACAGGGCTTAGGGAGGAAACCGAGAGGGAGACGTGGAGAGACAAGGCAGAAGAACAGGGCATGAAGGCTTAAGCAGTGAGTGATCTCCGCTTGAGGTAAGTGGCAACAAGTTTGTTTCTTTCTCCTGTACAGGGTCTTCACCAGGTGAGTGGATATGGTACATTCTTTGCCACTCAGGATCTGGTGCCAGTGGTTTCTGCTAACCCCGAGTGATTTGCCACATTTTAATACAAATTTTCTTATGATATCCATTGTATTCATGTAGGGAGATAAAATAATTTAGGTTTTATTAAATGTTCTATTTTAAATTTCATGAATTGGTATGTATAGCCAACATTCAGATGGTCATATTTAGAATCAATATGTATTTGTATCACAGTTCTGGTTGATACCAAATGGGACATTTGATTTTTTTTTAATGATTTTGAAATTATTGGTTTCAGCAAAATATAGCTGGTTGTATTATGGTGATAATGCCAGTTATGTTACATCATTAAGTGGCTGTCACTGAAGTGTATATTGTAGGAAGTTAAAATGTTTATATAGGGGATTCTTAAGATCATCCTTTTCTTGTTTTTTTTCTTAATATTATCTAACTGAGGTATATATATATTTAACATCAGGCATGTATTTAATACATGCAGGCTAATGCATGTGTGTGCTTACGCATATACACACCTGAATGAGTATGTTTGTGTTTTGGGTCATTTAATGTGTGGAGCATGTGTACATTTTGTTCCTTGGAGTGTTCAGTTGAGTTTCCTTGATGGTTCTTGTTTCATTAATAAGAAATCATGAATGCTCGTCTTTTTGTATGACATTGATGTTATATTTCTAGCAGAACAGAGCACAATTAGCAGTACCACCAGACCACTGTAGCTAGAATGAGTTTTTATTCGATGTCTTAGATTATCTTGAAAATGGTATAGTTGTTGATATGAATAGTTGTATTGACATTGGTTGGGTTGCTCATCCATTTTGTGGTTCACTTTTCAATATATTTTTTTTTTCAAATTTTGGTGGTAATTGTTTATTTCCCACTTTCTTTTTCCCAGATTCTTGGATGGAACAGGAATGTGTGTTAACTCTCTAGAAGTGTATTCATTCCTAATAGTTTGCCAAGGATTGCATCTTGATTCTTACATTGCTATAAGTTGTGATGGTAATTTAAAAAAAATAACTTCCTCTAAACTGATATGAATGATGTGCATTTAAATTTGTCTTGGTGTCCTCTTTTTAATGCCAGAAGTTACCCAATGTTTAAATGTTTCCTGAAGGGTTGATCAGCCAGTGGCGTATAGTTTGTGCTGAATGAGATTAAGCGTTCCATGTGAATTGGTAGCTGGCAAGTTGTGCACAGCTTGTGGTGGGTAAATAAATAGTGGGAGTAATAATTTTGACTTACGTTATTAACATGCTATGAGTTTGTTGAGTGAACTTAGAAGAAATTGTGTTCTGAAGGACAGCTAAATGTAAATCTCGTTTACATGTGATCGTTTGTTGTTTACAAACACTAGCCAGCCAACAAACATGCACAACATTTCTTTTGATGAAACTTAATGTAAATATCCTTTCTTTAACTTTGTATTCCATAGTATGTTCATTACAGTAACTACAAATATATAAATTATAATAAAAAACTCCAGAGTATGGGGAAACCCCCTATAACAGCTGCAACTTGGCAGTGTAAGGGTTAATCATGTAATCACCACTAAGTCAATTATTTATATTCCTGTTCAATTGTTGGAAATGTTTTTAAGGACAGGATTTGGATATCTCTGATTGAACATTTTTCTTTGTTCTTGTTTCCTCTTTAAAGCCCATTGTGATTTTTTATCCTGTACTGTCTTTTTGTTTTTCTTTGTTTTCTGTGCTTGTCTTCATTGTTTTGGGGCCACCTCATTGTTAGAAGTCGCTCCTCTCCTTTATGAACTTTGTATTTGGAAGCTCCAAGCTGAGAGTGGACTCTCTTTAATTAAAGATAACATTTTGCCTGTAAGAGCATAGTGATATATACAGTAAGATATACAGGGCCAGCTGCTGATAAAGGGGAAAGGGCAAGGCTACCCTACCTACCTCAAGGTAGGTAAGGTAGGAGATGCTGGCTATCGGCGATTTCCTTCTGTGATCTTAATTGCCGTTTGCGATTTTTTGCCCATTTGATTTGTTTACTATTTTAAGTCGTGCACCTTAGATGTAGTAGAAATACTTTTAAATAGCTGTATTTTTAGTACAGTTTAGTACAGTACAGTAATTGGTACAGTTTTGGGAGAGCTAATACAAATGCCAGAAGTGTACTGAAATTTCCTTGGTTTTGTTCAATTGGGGTGATGTGCTTGATGGCTTGGCGACTGCAGTTTCTACATATTTGATTAAAATGTTGCTTTGTTCTCTGATAAGTTAAGCATTTTCAAAATTGATCAGGTGTTGCTCCAGCTGTGTGTTTTTAGTTACGTCTACCGGGAGCAAGATGTAGCTCTTGAACCCCACCTATAAGTTATTGTACCCGATTCATTTATTCCTTCTGACATTCCAGTACTGCCATAATTCCTATTGAAGCAGAGAATGGTGGTTGCTTTCACCTCTGGTTGAAGGTCATTACATTTGTATACTACTCTCACTGCTTACAAGTATTTCCGTATTTCTCTCCACCTGTTTCCCTCTCGTTCCGTGGGACACTTGGTAGAACACAGTCTGTAGCCATCAACACTACACCATCAGTAAAGAGAATCAAGGAAATTTAGGTATTGAATTAAAGTATGGCAAGTTATTACTACAATGTGACTTACGAATAATAGTCTCATCTGCTTTACACACAGAAATCACAATAGCGTAATGCATCAAATGAACAAATCCACAAGGGCCGTGATGAGGGTTCGAACCTACGTCTGAGAGGATCCCAGACGGGCCTTTATCGACTGCCACATAGTAAAAGAATTGGAACTGGGAGTTCTACTGACCTTGCATGGATCCTGCAGTCTCTACAAGACACAAACCAGGGTTTTACACAATTCCCCCCGATAAAGCCAGTTAAGAAAGCTATTCTACGTCTTAGCCCTTACTTCATTAGACTTGCTTGTTGACAGAGCCCGGGTGCCTGGGGAAATTATGTAAAATTCTGGTTTGTTTCTCGGAGAGACTGCAGGATTCGTGTGAGGTCAGTGGAATCCCGGTTGCAATTTTTTTACGGTGTCATGGCACAGTAGATTAAGGCGAGTCTGTGATCCTCTCGGACGTAGGTTCGAACCCTCATCATGGCCCTTGTGGATTTGCTCGTCTACTTTACCCAACCTTTACCTTGCAGTGCATACTTTTGTATAAACAGCTTGCCCTGTATATCTGTTAATTTGATGAAACCCTTATGGGCAAAATTTTACTTTTAATCAAATCTACTTGACTTGCTGTTTCTCATCATTTTCAACGCTGAGCTCTATGAAGGTAAAAATCTTCGTAACTTTTATGGGAGAGCCAGAAGAATGAAGCTGTGAATATAGAAGAGCACTTGAAAAATTTTAATTATCAGTTGAACTTGGATTTGGTTAATTAATTTTTTCAAGTTATTAACAGTACAAATTAATTAAATGGAATCCATTGTATATAGTGTTATAAGTAGTCTTTGATTTCACAAAAGTATGATTATTTAGCACAATTTTAATTGGTTTCTGATCAGCAAATTATATTTACTTTCAAATGTTGCCGTTGAATGTGAAGTTTGCAGTATGAGCAAATGAAAGTTTTTAGTTGTGTGGTTTATATAAAAATGTAACCAACAGTTTTAATGGTTGGCTTTTGTTTTCAACATTGTAACTACTGGTTAGTGTGATTCAAGGGATGTGTGTTTAATGTTTTTCCCTTGATGACACAGCTTTTAAGATTAGGAGTCGGTTACTGTGGGTATTTGTACTCTTCTCTTTGCTTAACAGGTTTTAGAAGAGAAGGAAAATAATAAATGCAGTATGGCATGGCTAGTTATTAGGAAATAATACCTCTCGCTGTTTACCCAGGTATGTCTAGAATAATGTCTTGAAGGAAAAGAAAACTGAAGTGGTAACTTACCAGGTCATAAGATTAATTATTATTTTATTAATGGGTTATCTGTCATCCTTCGATTACAACATAAATTTTTCCCCCATATTTATAAAACTGTTATTGTTGGTATGCAGACAGTGTCACAATGTGACTAAAAATTCCTCGACCCACTATTTTGAAATAAAAGAATTGACGATGTTTCAGTTCACCCTGGACCATTACACGATTTGATAACGGTCCAGGATGGACTGAAACGTAGTCCATTCATTTGTTTCCAGATTTGTGGGCTGGGTGTCTTAATGTAGATATTTTACAAATAAAGTTATTGATGTATTTCTCAGTCTCCTGCTCAAGCATCATAAAAATAACTACTGTGTGTGTGTGTATATATATATGTATATATATATGTATATATATATGTATATATATATATGTGTATATATATATATATGTATGTGTGTATATATGTAATATATATATATATATATATATATATATATATATATATATATATATATATATATATATATATATATAATATATATATATATATATAATTATACCAGAAGTTATCTAAAAATAAATTCATGAAGGTTTTGAAACCAATTTGATTGTTGTCCAGTCAATGAACTTCCATAGTAGCCATTTTTTTGCGAGATGAAAATGAAGTTGGGCTTTGTGCATTTTTGTATTACTTTTTTTGAAGTAGCATTTGTCTGTTTATCAATATAATCATATGTATGGATTAAAGTAAAATTCACAAAATTCTCGATATTGTGGCCTCTGCATCTTTTCCTTGCATATTTACTAAGTACTAAAGACACTTGAAGGAACATAATCTTTCGTTAAAGATTTTATATTGCTAATTTGGCTTACACTCAAGTAAAGCAATTGCCCTTGAAAGCTTCCCTAAAAAGACAAATTGAGTAAGTAGTGTATATGGTAAGGCCAGATGTGGAGATTGGCGAGACGTACATAACTTTGTGGAGCAATATTATGATCGTAGACAAAGAGTCATTAGTATTAGAGTACCTCTTCATTTCCTCTGGTAGTGCTTCTGTAGGCC